CGAGTAAATGACCTAAAAGCAGCTCTGTGCAAAGCAGTCTGTGTGTGGCATGGTGTCGTGGTTTCCTTCCCTCCATGCTGGGTCCGGCACCAGCCCCTCTCCAGTGGCAGCCCACATGGCCCAGGACTTTGGCCAAACTCATTCATTCTTGTCTGTATCCTGCTTCCTTTCACCTTAAAAGAAGGAAAGAAATGTATGGAAGGTCAGCCATGAGCAATGTATTTTTATTACTCAAGGAGGCTCCCTGACTGCCACTTTCCTTGCTGGTGGCATGCACGTAGAAGAGGCGTGGTGTGTCCTGTCCTCAGAAATGCAGGCAGGGTTGGTGCAGGTCCAGCCCTGCGGTCACGTGGGTGCAGGGACAGGCCCCCGGCCCCACCAGGCCTCCGCAGCAGAGCTGGTGGGCTCTCCCAGGGCAAGGGTTTTAGGTCCGTGTTTAGCTGGAGTGCTCAGAGCACAGAGTCTGCGTGCAAAAATTGATGTGCTGAGGAAACACCTCCTATTTTCTGTGCTCAGCAGATTGTTCGGTTTCCAGTTTTCCGCGCTGAGGCTTTCACAGGCCTCAGCCGCGTTTCCTCCCTTCCTCCCACAGCTGCTCCTTAGTCGTTAGGTGCTGGTTCTGCAGATTCTTTTTCTTCGTGTGTAATTTTTATGTTAAAGACAGCTGCGAAGTGCAAGATTCAGAGCACGGAGGAGTTGTTAGGATGTAACGAGAAGTCGATCGTCCTCTGCGCTGAATCGTTTCTTGGATCAGAGCTTAGTGACTGATGGTAGTGCGTGTCCCTGTCCCCCAGGGACGACATCCTGAGGCACTTCTCTAGTCCCAGGCGCTCTCACTTCGGAAACAGTGTTGTTCTTTTGTTTTCCTTCTTCACCCACTTGTTATTTTTTGGAGACCATCCAAAGTATATGCCTTGACTGTTATACAAAGACAGAGCGATGAGCCCCGCAGCAGAGTCCAGCGCCTGCCGCCCACACGCGTCGCAGGCTCCTCTCGGTCTGTCCCCTCTTCCTTCCCACTGAGGGGNGGGCTCTCCCAGGGCAAGGGTTTTAGGTCCGTGTTTAGCTGGAGTGCTCAGAGCACAGAGTCTGCGTGCAAAGTTGATGTGCTGAGGAAACACCTCCTATTTTCTGTGCTCAGCAGATTGTTCGGTTCCCAGTTTTCCATGCTGAGGCTTTCACAGGCCTCAGCCACGTTTCCTCCCTTCCTCCCGCAGCTGGTCCTTAGTCGTTAGGTGCTGGTTCTGTGGATTCTTTTTCTTCGTGTGTAATTTTTATGTAAAAGACAGCTGCGAAGTGCAAGATTCAGAGCACGGAGGAGTTGTTAGGATGTAACGAGAAGTCGATCGTCCTCTGCGCTGAATCGTTTCTTGGATCAGAGCTTAGTGACTGATGGTAGTGCGTGTCCCTGTCCCCCAGGGACGACATCCTGAGGCACTTCTCTAGTCCCAGGCGCTCTCACTTCGGAAACAGTGTTGTTCTTTTGTTTTCCTTCTTCACCCACTTGTTATTTTTTGGAGACCATCCAAAGTACATGTCTTGACTGTTAGACAAAGACAGAGCAATGAGCCACCCAGCAGAGTCCAGCGCCTGCCGCCCACAGGCGTCGCGGGCTCCTCTCGGTCTGTCCCCTCTTCCTTCCCACTGAGGGGTGGCCTCTCCCTGGCCTGTCCCCTGCCACATCCAGTAGCCGTTCTACACGCCACAGTCCAAGTGCCGTTTTGACATGACCTACCAAGGACATGCGGCCTTTTTACAAAGCACTTTCAATACCTCCATTTGCCCAAGTTCACAGGGTATTTCCCTCCTCTGACCCAGGTTAGAGTTTTGCTAAATCTCTAACGTCCCGAGTAGCCCACTAATTTTAACTACATTAGTTGAATGCAACTGATACGTGTGTGGCCTTGTTGCCACAAAGAGCATCTAGATTGTACCAAGAGCTTTGGGGACATGACATGCCAACACAGATGTATTTAACTGTTCGCATGAAAGCATATGGCGTCTGACTGTGTCATAATTCTAATAAATGTATTTTGTTTGTCTGATTCTGATATTTTTCCCAGTGATGTTTATTGTTAATATTTTTTCATAAGTGCCAAGTGTGCACTGAAGTCTGTTTTCAAACCAGCCTGTTCGTGCACATATTCCTTGTCGAGTCACGGTCCCTGCTGCAGCTGCTCTGGCAGGCGTTCCTGGAACTTACTGGAAAGGACTGGGGCCCTGGCAGCTCCTCTGCCTCCTCCCATCCGCACCGCTCCTGTGTGGCTCCTGCCCTTGTGGAGCTCACCTGGGATGATCTCCGCCCACTCGGGATGCTGCCAAGCTGTGCAGTGAGCACACGGCCTGTGACTAAACGCCAGCCGAGACCCTGGAGGTCACACGCAGGGGGTGTTAAGCAGGAGGGAGTTATCCCAAGGGTGAGGAGGCAAAGCGAACAGAAATTTTGACTGAGAGACAACTCTGCAGGTGGCTCTTCAAGTGTCACCTGGAAGCTACTGTGGGGTGTCCTGGCAGTCCCTCTTAAGTGGGAGTGTGGGCTGGGTCTCAGAATCTAGGTGACACAGAATAACAGGAGAACATCCAAGTTTCATCAGTTTTTATGTGTACATGGGACCCTCACAAGAGAGTGAAGATCCAAAGAAATGGCTCATGCAGGAAGCTTTTGTGCTTTTTAGACAAAGAACGATACAATTGCAAAAAATGACAGGACAAAGCGGTGTGGGCAGAAGCAGTAAATTCCAGAAGAGTTGCCGGGAGCGGGTATAAGGTAAGCCGGGGAAGGCAAGGGTTCCTCTGTCGGCATCTGCGCGGCCCTCGCGGCGCAGCTCCAGACCCTGGGCTGAGGGGTCGTTCTCTCTGAGGAGTCTCTTCCTCCAAGGAGTTGCCATGACCGGCTACGTAGGAGAGGACAGGTCGGTCGCCCTTTCTGCGATGACTGTTTCTTACGTGCTTTTAGCTTGAAGTCACCAATATACCAGTTTGGCATATTTGGGGGTGGCTGGTCCTTACCTCCTGCTCCACTCAGTGTCCAGCATCCCAGGCCTCCAGCCTACCCGCCCTGCAACCTTCACTCCCCGCTGCTCCTGGGAGGCCCCCGTGTGCCTTCTCTCCAGGGCCTCTCGCTCTTCTGGGACCAGCCAGGCCACCAGCCCTGCTCACTGCCCAGAGAGGCTGGTCCCGCTGGTGCAGGTGACACCATGCATGTCACACATGTGCGTGTCACACACGTGTGCTCACATACATGTGGCACTTCATGGGGGGCTGCTGTCTCGGCACTGGCCAGCAGCCTCTTCTGTGTCTGCTGGGTCACGGGGCCATCCGGGAGTTCCTCGTCCCGCAGGCCTGGACCCCCTCGCGGACACAGGACACCGCGGCTCCCGCCCCAGC